AGCTGGCATTGTAGTCTACTCTCCCAGGAAACAGTCCTCGTCCTCCGTAAAATGCGCTGCACACATCTGAATATTTGGGTTGAACTGTTCTGGAACAGTGTTGTAAATACAACTTAACCACTGAATTTTAGTCGTGTCCTCTTTTGGAAGACCAAACAAAGTATTTTTGCTTTCGCAACAAAACACATAGCGTTTTCACAACATAGCGGCGGCGGTGGCAGCAACAATAACGTTACGCCTTCTTTCTTTGCGTGAACATTTGGGCGGGGTTATGCAAATCTTCCCACATCGTGACGTAGACATGTGGGGGCATGTTTGAACAAGGCGTTTTAGGGGGGCGTGGATGAGTCTTAACGTTTATAAAGAATATCTCTTTGGGTTTGAGACTTTAGTCTTTGCAACTTTAGGGATCTTATCTATTCACGAACAGCTTGTAACACTCCAAAGAGAAAGGAAAACTTGAAATCGCATCATATGACCCCCACTTTTCGTTTACTGTCTTACAGAACAGCCATTGTGTTTCCGTATGGTTAACCACATGGAATAAAGTTAGTTTGTCCAAATAAAATTCCCAAAGCATCATTGCGCGTTGTTAAGGTTAAGGGATAAATATTTTGATTATGAATTACCTGTATATGCATGTTGTTTTCTTTTTCTTGTCATCTAAATCTCAAAGAAAGGTCAAAAAACCCTCCCATGTTCAGTACTGTGAAAATGTAATCTTGACAGGAATGCACATTTCTTTTTCTTGGCTCTTCTCTGATGTTGTAAGTAATTAGTGGGATGTCATTAATAACATATTAGGCAGACAAGCTCTTGACATTTTATTCAGATGACCAACATCAGATTATTGGAATGTGGATTACCATGGTGGTCCCAATTTCTGATGTTGACCGTTACTATGGAGAGGAAGTGAAGACAAACAGCAGTGCTATACATGCAGCAGCTTTATCACAATATTGGATAGTTAAGATGAAGTTATGCATATATTAGATGTACCTTTTTTGCAAGTATTCAAAAGGCTCACATAATAGAATAAGAGTGTGAATGATATAAACTGTTGGTCAGAAGATTGTAATAATTACTCTTTTCAAAGTTTTTTTCTGCTCACCAAGGCTGCATTTGTTTAATCAAAAATTTAAATGAGCTATTTTTTATTTTAATGCATTTAAAATGTAATTCCTGTGTATTCTTGTGATGGTAAAGCTGAATTTTTTCAGCTTTATTACTTGAGTCTTCAGGGTCACATGATCCTTCAGAAATAATTCTAATATGCTGATTTTGAGCTCAGTGCTCTGCTATAAAAAACTCCACTAAACGTATTAGTATAAGTGGAATTGCCTGAAAAACGTGTACGTAGAATATGGTCTTTTTAAGATGTGCTTCCTTTTCTGTCCCACAGGTCATGGAGGAGACAGATACTCAGATTGCATGGCCTTCCAAGCTAAAGATCGGTGCTAAGTCAAAGAAAGGTAAGACCTCTGTGTCCCTCATCTGATCTGAAACGTGCTCTGCTGAAGATGTGTGTGTGTATATACTAGTTTCTTAGCTGTGGCATCTTTCTGTTACTCATTTACATGCACTAATTTCAGTCAGTTGGAATGAAAGCAATCCAATTTGAGAATCTGAAAGTTCAGTTCATATGAACCCTAAACTTTGCGATCCGATTCACATATTTGTTTATATGTGCATTACATATATTCTAAACAAGATGTCTGTGCATGTGAAGTGCATAGAAAAAGCCACTGCGAAAATCTCACCATATCTACATAATTGCCATTTTTGTCTTGATGATATACCTAAAGAGGAAGTTGACATATCTGTCGGAAAAGCTTTTTAGCAAATATGAAAGGGTATGTTTACAAAACAAGATGACAATTTTTATACAAAAAATGAAATGTTTTTTGTTTTTTTGCGTTTTTGAAAAATTTTGCATATAGGTAACAACATTGTCAAAACGATCCCCGTTCACAAATGATCCACAAAAATTACCAATAATACTGTATTATGCATTCCTGACCAGTAGTTGGCGACGTCACTTTGTAAAGAAACACTACACGTCTGTGGATGTATGTATGTCTATGAACACGTAATATGCATTTATGCATACATATGACGTCACCATTTTAACAAATTAAAATTTTTCGTCGTTTACACATGATAACAGTATCGTTTTCAAAAACTTGCACTTTGAAACCTGTTTTCAAAAGGTTCAGGCCCCCCCAAAACACGTTGTTGTGTAAATGAACGGCCAATACGCATAAAACATTTTCCATTTTTGGTTGAAAACAGTGTCATGTAAATAACTTCTCACTCTCCTCCACTGACCAATAACCATCAAAAATAAAAAGAGCTAGCTAGTTTAACTGATTGCCTTAAAAGTCTATAGATATCGCCATTATTTAATATGGCTGTTAACACATTCTCCGACAAGCGGAAGAGATGAGAGCTGTTTTCCGGGTTTGGTCAGGTGACGTTCAACATATACCCTAATTTTCAGATGCGCTGGTAATATATTTCATATGTATCATACAGTACAAACTGTTAGGGGTGCTCCGATTGATCGGCTACCGATCACTATCGGCCGATAATCACGTTGGGGTGTTTGATTGGCGGTCTCTAAAAAGGCCGATCTCAAAAAAAACGATCTCAAGCTGATGACGCTGCTGTGAGAGGTTTGGCACGACATGCAGCAGCACCGTCTCAGTCTCTCCGTTTGCAGTGCGTATGTGGTGCGTATTTTTTCAGCGCTCATGTTAACGGATTAAAGCATTCACATTGCACATGGTTGCGGTCCGGCAGTGCGTTCAGGAGCGGTGCAGGATCGTTTCCGCACCGAGTCTATTTTTGCTGCGCTGCAAGCCTGAGTTAAAGTTACAGCGCATTGTTTGCTGTAAATATGAAAATGAAAATGTAGCAATCTTGTAATAAAGATTTCAATGCAAAAGGAAAAGCAGTAGAGCTGACTATTTCTGTCAATGGTAAGTTTGTGATAACGTAAGAAAAGTAGTTTAAATGTTTTGCCACTTGCTTGAGCAACTTAATATATAAATCAAGAATTAAATGCAAAAGTAAAAGGTATTGAATGATGTGTTGCTTATATTTATTGAGTTTAAACATGTCTGTGAAAGATTGTATTACTGTACTGTATAAAAAAACAATTGCAATGCTGAAAAAGCATTTTCAGTGACAATGTTTGGATTTGAAATCAAAATAATGGATAAATGTTGTGTTTGTGGTAAACAGCCACGGATCAGTAGCGGACTCCTGTGTGAAAGCTGCTTCCCCTCTCACAAGTCACCTAAGAGGGGAATTCCCCCCATTTTCAAAAACGAAATTCAGGCCCTAAATAATGTCTACAAATCCTGATTGAAGTATCACTATAAATAGTTATAAATTATAAAAATAAGGCTTTAAAAAGATCGGTATCATGATCGGTATCGGCAGATACTGCTTTCAGTGATCGGCCTCAAAAATCCTGATCGGAGCACCCCTACAAACTGTATATAGCCTACCACCCAGCCCTAGTGTTTGCAAAGTACTTTTGAATCCGATTAAGAAAGTAGTGAGATTCAAGGGTTTACATGGCTAAAATGTTCATATTAAACAGATTATTTACGATTTCATTTCGATCGAAATTTCAATCAGTTCACATGAATCATCAATCTGATTATAAAAGAATTATTAAGGTTGCATGTAAATGCACCCACGGTACTGTTTAGCATTCAACACCCTTGCTCTTGTTTCATTGGAATTTGTCTTATCGAAGTGTTACATAAATGACATTTACAACAACATTTTAAATATCTTCACATAGTCATCACTGACAGTATCTTGACTTCAGGGTCAGATGGATCCTTCTAGTAGTATCTCAGCTTTGGCTACCCTGATTACAGTCATCTTTTGTCTAGTTATTGTAAGAAGAGAACAACTTGCGCTTTAGATTATCAGTCCTGTTTTGACAATATGTTTGTTTGGAATATTATCATACTTACAGTGTATCAGTTGATATTCATGAGGTTTGCACTGGACTGCTTCATTTGTTTTGGAATCATCCGAAACTTGATCACTAGTATTGTGTTCGAGTCCAGTCAGTTGTTCCTTTTTACCACTTTACATATTAAACTTTGGCACATAACTCGACCTGAACTGCTGCTGTGGAAAAATGAATGATTTTGCTACAGAAAAATGAATGTGGAAATGAATGATTAAATCATGTGGCTTTTTGAGAAGAGGTGCACTATTGCTTTTCTAAGCATTCAGACTTACAATATTTGACTCTTTGGACTTGGAAAAGTAAGCAACCACCCAGAAAAACATGCATTGCAAACACAAAGCAGTTTGTAAGAAAACAGAAAAGTCTTGTATGTTTTCTCATCTGAAACAAGTGGCTAAAATGCACCCTGTTGGATGTTAAAACATTTAGCAGATGTTTTTAAGATGTTTATGCATTTGCTCTTTTTTTAATAGTTTTCGACTACTTACATTACCAGTTTTTTGAAAGAAATGAACATTTTATTCAGCAAGGATGGATTAAATTGATCAAAAGTGACAGTAAAGACATTTATAATGTTACAAAAGATTTGTTTCAAATAAATGCTTGTGTTTTCTATTTATCAAAGAATCCTGAAAAAGATGTATCACAGTTTCCACTAAAAATATTACACAAATGTTTCTTGAGCAGCAGATCAGCATATTAGAATGATTTCCGAAGACTGAAAGACTGGAGTAATGATGCTGAAAATTCAGCCTTGCATCACAGGAATAAATGACATATTAACACATATTAAAATAGAAATCAGTGTAATAATATTTCACATTATATTAATGTTTTTACTGTATTTTGGTCAAATAAATGCAGCCTTAAAAAGGATAAGAGACTTTTTTGAAAAATATGAACGTATTACCAACCAAACCTTTAAATAATAGAGTACAAAGTATAAGTACCAGAAATACCATATTACATGTATTTTGGACCTGCATACTTTTGGTTTGGCATGCACCATGTGTGACGAGAGGGGCGGGGCCGAGAGCCGTGGGAGCGGAGCGAGACCGGTGGAGTAATTGCTAATGCGCGACACCTGCGCCACTCACTGGTCTCGAGTCTCACGGAGGAGCTCCGGAAGGATAAAGGAGGAGTGACTACAGTGTTGGACGAGAGAGGACCAGGCCTGGAGTTTATTTTGTGTTTTGGTTTTGTTTGTGCGCGACAGTCGTCCGCGAGGGGCTGTCGCGCTATTTTGTGTTTGTTTATTTTATTAAAGTTTGTTTAAATGTCCGTCGGTTCCCGCCTCCTTCTTCCCGATCTACGAACTTTGCTACACCATGGTACTAATTTTTTGAAAGTAACTTTATTCTTGGAATACCCTGGTAAACCAAGAATCAATTGCAGTACCATGGTATTACCATCTGAAACATCACTGTACCGTGGTACTACCACAGCACCTATGGGTACAATTCAATACTTTCCAAATGATGCACTCTTTCACAGAGGTCACAGCAAACTACTGGTGAACTCCGCTGAGCGTCCTTTGATACTGAAATATTTTCTAAGCCATAATGTCAATCAAACATTTGTTACGCAATTATACAAGTGTTTCATTTCTCTGTAAAGTTTTAAGAGCTTATGGCAAAAGTAATAATGTTGCGATCAAGAGGACGGAATGCAAACAATGACAACAACAGCTTGGCCATTCCAAACAAACATCAGATCAAGTTCATATGGGCTAACAATGTGTTTTCAGGGTCACGGCCCAAGTCAAAGGCCATTCGCATTCCTGCGTGTGGTTTATGTTGGCGAGCCGCCACGGGCATTGCCTGCGCTGACAAAAATGTTACATAATCATTTGCGGTTATCTGGTGACTGCATGCAGCAAACATCCCAGCTAATTAATGATGGAAAACACATGCACGGTTCTGACATGTGGATTGCACCAGGCCCGGCTTAGCCCGTGTGGCCTTCAGGGACCTGCTGTTTCCTGCGAGTCTGTCTGCAGCTTATTATGACAGTTAAGACGTGTTGATCCTGCGCAACACCTCTGGAAGAAAACAGGCACCGGTCAGCTAGATAGCGCAGCATGCGATCGAGCCAACAGCCTTGACTTTAGGTCCGCCTCTTTTGCACGATGAAAGTGATGCAATTGTTGAGGAGCAGAGATGTTTGTAGTTTAGGGGATTGAATGTTCTAGCCCTAAACTAATTCACTTTATTCAGATAACTTTTAACAAAAAAGAAGTATATACAACATAGAATATACAATTTCCTGTGAATTGGCCCATTATGTTATAATTTATGTGACTGAATAGATTAATATGTTGTTTAATGCTTGTAAGGCCATTAGAGTTACCGCATTTGTGCAGTATTTCAAACTGTTTTATAAATGACATATTTTTAAACATTTTAAATGTTTGTATGTATGTATGTATGCATGTGTGTGTGTGTGTGTATATAAATATATATATATATATATATA